AGGGAGGGAGGGAGGGAGGGAGGGAGGGAGGAAGGAAGGAAGGAAGGAAGGAAGGAAGGAAGGAAGGAAGGAAGGAAGGAAGGAAGGAGCTGCTTGTGTGTCATACATCCTGCCCAGGCTGGGTACTTGGGGACCTGTTGTCTTGTGTACAGGGAAAAGGTAAAGGTGTAAGAAGCCCCTAGAGAACCAAGAAAGAAGTCCACAGACTCAGCATCCAAGTTGCAGTGGCCCAGAAGACTGACAAAGAAACAGATGGTTCCTGTTTCTCATCAAGTGCTCAGTGGGGTGCTCCACACTGCTGTAAGGCCCAGGAAGGGCCTTACAGCAAGCTTAGTCATCAGAGTAGGCTAGCTGAGGCCAAGTGCCAGCTCCCTTCCCACTCACGGTGGGAGGAAGACAGGCTCTCCAGAACTATAGCTAAGAGTGCTAGTGAGGCTGGCTACCAGAGAAGGCCTCTCCTGCCCTGGGTGCTCAGATATATCATAGCTGTTTTTATCGTTGGTTTTATTTTTGTTTTCTGAGACCGGCTCTGATCGCCTAGGCTGGCCAAGAACTCTCTTTGTGGCAGAGCCTGATCTTAACTTCTGATCCTCTTGCCACCACCTTCCAAGTGCTAGGTGACAGGTGTGTACCACTACAGCCAGTGATTGAGCAGCTGTGGAATGGACACACAAAGTAGTAAGCCAATGACATGTTCTGGCACATTTCATCTTAGCCATTCTCAGCCTGGAGGACATTTTGAAAAGCGCACAACAAAATGTGATGATTATCTTCAACTATGCGGTCTAGTGGGTAGGGCTTGAAAAATCTCCAGATATTTTATCCCTGAGGAAGACCCCAGCTTGACTGGATCTTGATGACTCAAGCCTATATCTTCTTGTAGTGTGAGTAATGTTGAAAGACAGGACATCATTGGAGGAGGGGAAGAGCCATGGTCAGGGGCTAACAGACCACGGCAGCTATCCAGGCTCCTGGAACCCTTCTGGTGTTGCCTGCTGAAGAGAGCCACAGGCTGGACTAGCAAAGCAGAGCGTCCAGCCCACACAGCACTGGTGACTGTGGCCATGCCCAGGAGGCACATAGCTCACACACCAATGGAAATGACTCCTCCTCCTCCTCCTCCTCCTCCTTCTTCTTTTTGGTTTTCTGAGACAGGGTTTCTCCGTGTAGTTTTGGTGCCTGTCCTAGATCCTGTTCTGTAGACCAGGCTGGCCTCAAACTCACAGAGATCCACCTGGCTCTGCCTCCGAGTGCTGGGATTAAAGGTGTGTGCCACCACTGCCCAGCTTGGAAATGACTTCTTAAAAAGCACCCTAAGAATATCCCCCCACATGACCTTTATAAACCTAACAGCTCTGAGTAAGAAAAATATGACTCTCGTCTACAAACAGAGAAACCACGGGCTGGGAGATGTGAAGAACCTTTCTTCCAGGTCACGTGTGAGGGGGAGAGCACAAGGGGCTTGGAGTCCAGGCCTTATGACTCTCGGCCCAGGCTCTTGCTTTCATAGCACATGACTTCTCAAACTTACAAACCAAGATCTGCCCCTTTACACCGTGTTCCTTAGCTCTCTGGTGGAGGTTATGTCTGTCTGGAGTTCAGCTAGGTTGCAGACTGGTGGCAGGCAGCTATATAACACACACGTGTTTGTGTCTACAGGCCCATGGAGAGATTGCCTGCAGGCCCTGGAAGACGGCCACGACACCAGCTCCATCTATCTGGTGAAGCCCGAGAACACCAACCGCCTCATGCAGGTGTGGTGTGACCAGAGACATGACCCTGGGGGTTGGACTGTCATCCAGAGACGCCTGGATGGCTCTGTCAACTTCTTCAGGAACTGGGAGACCTATAAGGTGAGACCAGTGGGCCTGTATGCATTGCCTGCAAGGTGACCGGTCCACCCTCAGTCCAGAAGGACAAAGACAGCATCATTTCTCCAAAGCTATCCGAGTGGTAAGGTCAGGCCCCTCCTTGTCTACTGTTCAGGAGAAGATGGAGTAGAGACAGCATCTTACTTCCAGCCAGGGCCTCCACAAGGTGACCTGCTCTTAGGGGGCAGAAAGAGCAGGTCCCAGGGCTCCAGGTCCTGAGAAGCTCCCCTCAAAGGCATGTTTAGGGAAACATGACAATAACTGGCCTAACTGCAAGGTTCAGTCTCTGGGTTTCCCAGTTGCCAGGATACTGAATGCTTCTCCTTGTAAGTCAAGTGCAAGGGATCTGCCACACCTCTCACCCTGTTCTGAACCAAGAGGGGACACTAAGGATGGCATGAACAGTTCAGGTCCGTGGACACCTGTCCTGTGCCAGGTACTGTAACAACGGTCTGTTGTATATGCCCTTCAGGAAAGCACTGCTACAGTCACCTTGCAGGTGAGAAGGGAGGGCCCGGCCATGGCTTACAGACACAGTGTGGCAAATCGGCAGCTGCAGCCGAGGCCTCCAGGCCAAAGCTGTAACTGCCGTCAGCCCCAGGGCCTCCGCATGCAGTCCGCTGGCTCCCAGTCTCCTCCATCCTGGCTTGCCCTGGGCGGCCTGTGGACCTCCTGCTTCCCTCTCCAAAGCCTAGCCTCAGGTCCTCTCTGTACTCCTCCATTCCCTCATGAAGATGGTACAACACAGCAATGCTTACCCACCATAGGGCTGCTGATGACAGTGCCTGGCTCTGAACATCACTTACGAGACTTTGCGGGCTACTGCTCAGCTGATGCCCCAAACCACCTATCAAATGAGTAACAAAACTACTGGGTTTCAAACCTAGAAGGACCCAGGTAGATGTCACATACCTGTCACAGCTCTTACCTGTCTATGTTGGAGCTTACATACAACCTGCACACACAGTCCGTCTCCAGAGAAGGCGACTGAGGCTTGGGGGAGGTGAGGGCTCTTGTCTAAGCAATGCTAGCTGCATGCCTTCCAGGTGCCAGGCTCTCAAATGACCATATCATCCTGCCTTTGAGAAGTTACAGCATTCTCAGGTAAGGACAAGAAACAGACTCACATGATGGAAGGGAAAAGGCGTGCTCTTCAGATGTGTGAATGGCACATGATTGACAGTTACAAAGGCTCCGTGACTCACCCAGTCACAAAGCCTGATACACAGGTAGCAGGGATTGGAACCCAGGCCTGCCTTATGTTCTGACTATTCCTGGGACACAGGCTCCTCACTCACGCTCTCCTGGGTCTTCCCCAGCAAGGGTTTGGGAACATCGATGGCGAATACTGGCTGGGCCTGGAGAACATCTATTGGCTGACAAACCAAGGCAACTACAAACTGCTTGTGACCATGGAGGACTGGTCTGGCCGCAAGGTCTTTGCAGAATATGCTAGCTTCCGCCTGGAACCAGAGAGCGAGTACTATAAGCTGCGGCTGGGGCGCTACCATGGCAACGCAGGCGACTCCTTTACCTGGCACAACGGCAAACAATTCACCACTCTGGACAGGGACCATGATGTCTACACAGGTAGGAAAAGTAGAGCCCAACCTAGGTGTTGAATGGGGATAAGAAACCCACCAACCATAGAGCCCCTGACTCCAGGGCCTGGAGCAAGAAGATGCCATGTGACAGACAGCTGTACCAAGCTGCCTGACACTGCTTCTCAAAGTCCCCTTCTATCCACTGCCCTCAGACAAGTGGCACTTATAAAAGGGGAGGGCAGAGGTGCACAGATCTCACCGTTGAGGGCTGCCCTGGGCCATGGCACTCAAGCTTCGGGCTGTGCCCTTCTTATTTCTGTCTGAGAACACAGTCACAGTCCACAGAGTCTGGGCCACACACTCTGCACTCCAATGCTGGGCCCATCACCTCAGTCATGCATCCTCAGCATGCAGCAGCATCTTGGATCTGGAAGTAAGGACAATGTCTCCTAAAAGGTCAGGGGATGGTCCAGGAGCATTTGCTCGGGTGCTCTGGGCAGGATGCACTGCACGGTAAGGACTCTGCCCAGTGACTCTGGCTGGCTTCCTGTAATGCGAATGCAGTACTGTAGGAAAGGCACTAAGAGGACATCAGTCAGCAGAGAAGTCATTTGTCCCTGGTTACATCCTTAAACCCAGGTCTTGAGTAAACAAGAAACAAAGGGGAATACAGAAAATTCCAAGATGCACAGGTATAGTTTGACCCTAAGGGTAAACAATCTACAACCATGTCCCGCACTCTAGCTCATGGCTCTGAACCAACACCTAAGAGCATCTCACGGGGCTCAGGGGCCCTGTAGGTTGGTCAGTCAACAAGGCCTAGTGCTCTGGAGGCTGATACCACCTCTGGACTGAGTCTCTGTCTGCTTCCCAGGCAGGCCTAGCCCATCCTGCCTAACCTCCCCCTGAGCTATGGTTCCAAGGTGGCCCTTGTCTCTGAGGAGCTCGCTCGCTCTAAGAGCTATCTCAGAAACAGCTTGTGCTCCCAGCAACCCCTGATACCCCAAACTAAGTCAGGGAAACTCATCCCAGGTTCCAAAGGCAGCCACACTCTAGAGGACAGTTCTCACAACGCCCTCAAACCACAGAGATACAGCCGTCTGCTCTGGCACTGAACTAACTCTTCTGGAAGGGCCCCAAGAAGCAGCCATTGCTCTGTAGTGGGTGCTCTGAGCCAAAATTTCCAAAGCTTTCAGAAAAGGTGGAAGGGTGGCCTTCATCTGTCCGATGCTGGGACATGGAGCTGCAGTATGTACTGGAGAGCTATCTCGGGGAGTAAGGAAGCTGTCAGATGGAGTCCTGGGGCACACATGGCTAGGGCCAGGGGTATGGGAGGCTGCTGAGGGCTCTCCTGGTTTGCCCAATGCAGCACGGCCACTTGGTCCTGGTGTGTGAAGACATGACTCAGAAGAAGCCCCAAGAAAAACTCTGGGAAATATGGTGGGGCTGGGGCTGAGGTCCCCAGCTCCAGCCTCCAGCTGCCTGCGACCTCCTCCCTCCTCCTCCCATGGCCTCTGCTGGAGACCACCTCTTCCTGGGGAAGGGGTTCTCTCTTAGTCCCAGGCCCCTCTTGTCTTCCTCCGTGGGGTACCACGCCCCTGCATGCCTGCTGATACCTTGCCCACGCTCCTTACTACCGAACTGCTTGTCCTTGGCAGCGCAGCGCAGGCCATGTGACAAGCCGGGGTTCACGGAAATATCCCTCTTTTACGGAGTAACACAAAAGTGATTTGGACAGAATTCAGGCTGGGGAGGACAAGAGAGGCGTTCTAGCTTAAACACTTCCCTTGTCGTTCTGAACGCCTCTTATCCAGCTCTTTCGACTCTTAAAAATTGCTAAAGAACTGTTCTCCCTCTCCCCAGCCCACAGCAGGCCACTTCCACCTTCTCCAGGGCCGCCTCTGCGTGCAGCTCAGGCCAAGGGCTAACGTGGCTCTCATTGACTCTTACAGCAGTCCTGTGTGGCGGGCATTATTTGTGTCCCTTTACAGATGAGAACACAGTGGCTGGGAAAAGTGAAGCCACCTATCTGCAGCCCTATCGTTAGCCTGTCATAAAGCTACCCTGCAAAGGCAGGCCAGCCTTTGACCCCTGCGCAGGGCTCTCCACTCCAGCGTTCTTGCTCTGAAGGCCTTCAGGGTCCTTCGTAAGACTCTGAGCACACCATGGAGGGGCAAAACCACCTCCCCCCTCAACACTCCTCACTCCCTTCTCTCTACAGGAAACTGTGCCCACTATCAGAAGGGAGGATGGTGGTATAATGCCTGTGCTCACTCCAACCTCAATGGGGTCTGGTACCGTGGGGGCCATTACCGGAGCCGATACCAGGACGGGGTCTACTGGGCTGAGTTCCGAGGAGGATCTTACTCGCTCAAGAAAGTGGTGATGATGATTCGGCCCAACCCCAACACCTTCCACTAAGCTTGCCCCCTTCCTGGCCACCCACGGCCATTGCCAGAAGCCACTGAAGCCGTCCCAGCCACGCAGACCTCAGCACAGCTCCTCACCGGCTGCTCCGCTCAGGCTGGAAGGACCTGCTTTCCAAGTCACTCTATCAGATAATGGACGTGAACAGTGTCCTCTGTCCCTCCCGCTTTCTGTCGCAGCTGCATGTTCCCAGGACAGGACAGAACTGCAGACTTTTTACAGTTAAGTCCCTCCAATAAAAACACAACTGCCAGTACCCTCAGACATGACAGACATGCATACGAGCCACCATGTGTATGTGATCTTAGACACACATCACACTGGGATGTCTAGATACACATGTGGGTTTGACACATTCGCCTAACTTTTCCATACTCAGCGCTCAGATGCTGAGGCCAGCAATACGGCTCTGTCCTTAGGAGGCTGCTTTTCCTCACTGCCTTGTACTTGAGTCTAAGGGCGGAACAGGCCATGTAGCCCTGATTTCGAAATACAGTCCTGGGCATTGCTGGATTTCCCGGAGCGTCTGCAAGCTCATCTCTCGTGTAGGGTTCCTGGCCTTCCTGCTTGGGAACCTCTGGGACACCCGATTAACCACTCCCTTCCACTGTTGCATTCTCCTTCTCGGACGGCTCAGCCTCCCTCCATCCAGTTACCCTCGGCCTGCACCTTCTGTGCCTTAGTCTCTGGCTGCTCACTGGAGGTCAAGGGACCTCTTCTCCCTTCTCCCTGACCTCTCTTCTGCCACACAGACCTTTACTGTTGGCACAATTCATTGGCCTTTGGGGAGGGAAGAGTCTGGGCTCAGGTTCCCGCTGGGAAAGGGAAGGCCAGGCCAAGAGCCACAGTGGCAGCCACACAGACCTGTCTTCAGTGTTGCACCGTCCACTCATACCTCCGCCTCCACATTATTTTAGCTTCCACACAAACAGTCCCCTGCCTTGCCAGGACACTCCAGTGGAGAGAAGTCACTGCCAACATGTTGGAACTCCCAGACAGCTGCAGATTTGAGGTCCTCTGCTCACAGGGGAACAATCTGCACCCTGTCCCCAAGCTACACCTCCCCAGAAGATGAGGCCACACATGGAAAACTAGCGACTCTCCATGAGCTGCAATGCCCTCAGAGGCTGCTGGTGGGCTGCAGCATGGTGGCCTCCTGAGTCCTGCGGGCTTAGAGGGATCACATGACTGCCTCACCAGAAGCAACAGATAAGTCAAGAAGGTGAGACCCTCCCAGTGGGTACATGTGCCAGGTGTGTGAGCGGTGGGCCTTTTGGTACTGTCCACATCTGGGTGCATGCCTATTACCTCAGCATTTCTCCCAGTGTACCATGTAGCATGTTCTGTTTATGTATAAAAGGGAGGGGGTTTTTGTTTGTTTTTTTAAAATATATTCCCAGACTATCCTTGTAATGACACAAATCTGCAATAAAAGCCCTAAGTGCTATGTGGATGCACCCACACTATGTGTTGCTGTTCTAGAAGGCCTTCCTGGAGCTTCTGTTAGTAAAAGCAGGGGATATAGCATCTAGCACACACAAGGTCATCAAGGTCACACCCCTCCTACCTGCCCCATCAGGAATCCCATGCCAAGGAATCCCTGGTCAGTGTGGCTCTCTACTGCAAAGCCTCTATTTCTAGCTAAGTCTCAGGTGCCCAAGAAGCTCCTCACAGGCCAGGCAGTTAGCACCAGAGGCTTTGGGATCTGTTCCTGTGTATTCAACTGTGGCTCAGGCTTTCCCTTTCCCGCCAGGCCGAGCCTTCTCGAAGACTAGTGCAAGCGACATCTCCCCCACACTGCTGCCACAGGTTCCCATGATGCTGCCAAAGCTGTCTCCTTGTAAAACAGACTAGGGAGGGCAACTCTAAGCATGATGGGAAGCTCTAAAACCATAAAGGAAGAAATCAAGGACAAAAATGACCAAGACTGATATCAAACAAGAGAAGCCTCTGTGCTATATATTACTATGTATGCTAATTGAAAATACAGAATTAATACTGATGCCACACCCAAACTCAGATTCAGAAAGGTATAAACACTACGGCAGAAAACATGATAAAGTTTAGGACCAACTCAGATATCACAACTGGATGATAAATGTTAAAAAGGCCCCTAATAAGAACAAGGGAGACACCCTAAGTGAAGGAGAAGACAGTATGCCGCCTTTTGGGTTTGCAAGGATGAAAGAAAAACACATGTTGACAAGAGACGGAGGAGTATCTGGTCTGCTCCACGAACAGGAGTAGGAACTGACTCGAGATTTAAAGTGCAATGGCTGACACCCTTGGCCCCGCAGTCCTTAGGCACCATGGGAACAATTCCTACAGGTGAAACCGGGGGAGGAGTCTGGTGTTGCCTGAAAGCTACAGTGGACTTAGATGCAGCAGAGAGGGAGGGGTCAGCACACCCACTCTTCAAAAACGCAAGAGATGGCTCCACCGAAGTCACCCAGAAGGTACTAGTGACAGGCACTGAACAGGAATTCTTGACTTGTTCCCATCTCCTGTGGTTGCTGGGGTGAGAGCGAAAGCTGGGCACTGTGAGGAAAGTGTCCCAACCTTGGTGCAGACACCAGCCACACTGTCCACACATCTGGAGTGGGGGTGGGGGAACAGGGCTGAGGAAAACAAGGGTCTTCCTCCCTGATCCCTGGTTTTGGGGCCAAATCCCCAGAGAGTTCTGGTGTGGAAAGCCAGGCTGAAGTGTGAAGCAACACTTTTCCTACAGCATTTAGGGTCCATGGCACCAACTGCTACCCTAAGCTCACGTCTGATTCTGTATGTGTGCACATGTATGCACACATGATGTATGGTGTATGTATGTCTACGTTATGTATGAAGAGGTCAGGGGAGGCTGTCTTCCTCTAACTGAAGCTCACTGCTTTGTTGGATTAGCTGGCCAGTAAACTCTTGGGATCTGCCTGTCTCAAACCCCCAACTTGGGGTTATAAGCATATGGAGCTGTGCTTAGCTTTTACGTGGGTCCTGGGGACTTGAACTCAGGTCCTCTTGCTTTCACAACTGCTCTTACTCACTGAGCCATCTCCCTAGTCCCCAAGCCAAATCTTACTCACACCACATGCTGGGTATGTGAAAAGACAAAGAACGGGAGTGTTAGAGATGCACAGCCTGTTCTCCCAAGGGGAAACAGGAGGGAGGAGGTCAGCTCCATAGCAGCAGTTTGGAGCCAGGAGATGAGGCTGTGCTCAGGGGCCTGACCTTGTTACACACACACACACACACACACACACACACACACACACACACACACACA